TTCCCGTGTGTACATTACTCTGGTATCAGAGCAAAGGAAGTCTGAATTCTAACTCCATCTCTTTCTAACTGTGTCTTGGGAAAGTTATCTCATCTTTCAAACTCAGTTCCTACTCTATACAAAAGGGATAATGCTTTTAAGAGGGATAAATGAGATAATGTATGGGGAAAACTGCTTGGTTTATACCTGATACATAGCAAGTGGTCAACAAATGTTAGCTAGTTTATCACTCTAGTACTTCAAATCTAATTCCCTCCACCTATAGTAATCGAATTCCTGCCTTCTCCACCATTTTTTCTATTGTTCCAACACTATTAAATTATTTGAAAAACATAAATTATTGGTAGAGTCTCTGTACATAATCCCTTCTATTCACTACAGTTTTTACATGATAATTATTTTGTCTGGATAAAGGAAATTATATCCTCCAAAGTATCTAGAAACTTGTTATTTTTTCAAAATCCTCTATCATCTCTAAGTAGTGCCAGATCATCTCACTTCTAAGTTCTAACTCTTGGTTTTACGTGATGCTTGAAATCATTGTTTATATGCTAGTGAATGCAGTTTCTTGAGCATCAGCTGAAGTCCATGTTAAAGCACAGACTCCCAGGTCCCATCCCAGGCCTACAAAATCAACATCCCTTTGGAAGAGCCCAACAATCTGCATTTTTGTTATACCACTCAGATGACTCAAAACTCCCTATATTAACAGGGCCATGGCTAAATTATCTGCCCTATAACCTGTTTCATAAGCAAAAATCATGATTACACAAATAAACAAGTGTACATAAAAGAGTACACAGTCCTCATCTGAGGGAAAAAAGAATGACTCTTGCTTTGAAGCCATGAAAGTTATTTTCAACATCACTTTTTAAATATGCCACCACCACGCTACTAGGACTCCATGCGGGAGGAGGATTCAAGAGTCCACAAAATTTAGCTGCAAACGTTGGAGGGAAGTTTTACTTGTCATTATCGAAATGCAAAAAATAGAGATAAAGTGTCATCCAATTAATTTT